TTTTCAGATGATAAAATTATTGTTTTCAGATGATAATAAATCGTTCTAATTGAATGATAAAATCATTATTTTCAGATGATAAAATTATTGTTTTCAGATGATAATAAATCGTTCTAATTGAATGATAAAATCATTATTTTCAGATAATAAAATTATTGTTTTCAGATGATAATAAATCGTTCTAATTGAATGATAAAACTATTATTTTTAGATGATAAAATATCATTCTCAGATGATAAAACATCATTCTCAAATGATAAAACTATTATTCAAAAATAATAACAAATCATTCTAATTGAATAATAAAATATTATTCAAAGAATGATGATTAGTTGACCTGAATTTTGTCAGGTCAGGTAAATAGGTCGACCTGATCTAATTTAGAGCTCTAGTTATAAATAATCACTTATTACAATCAAGAAAATGATAAATTATTGCTTTAAGAAAAGATTATAAATATAAACTTGATAAAATTAATATATAGGAATACCCATATGAGAGTTAAGCTATAAAGCAATTAGAATTCTCATTTATATATATAAGATCAGTCAAAAAATTTAAAATTAGAAAATTAAATACCTGATCATTAAAATTGAAAAAATTATATGAATTTATTAATCATTATCATTAGAAATTATCGTTCCTGTTTGTAAACTCTTTTTTTTTACCTAAGAATAAGTATGTCTACTACTAATGACAAAATGTATACTAGTTGTAAAGGTAAGCATAATAATACATTAATTCAAAAAAAAGGAAATATAAAAATCGTACTAATTGTATTTTTCTTTGATAATTCTCGTAACTTATCTGCAGTAACTTATTTCTGATCACTGGTTATACATAGATTTTTTGAAACTAAATCATAATATTTTTATTAATTATCTACCATTAACAAAGGATTTGAATAGTCTTGATAGAGCTTAGTTTAAGAGATTTTTTCAAGCAATGCAAAACCTAAAACCAAAAATATATGATTCTATAAAAGTAAAGGTAATACTTGTCTAAACTTAATTTGGATAAAGAAAGCTTCTGATTAGCTGTCTATCTGACTCAAAAGTATCAACTGTCTTTTTGACCTAAGTGATAGTGATGAAATCTCCTGATTAGCTATCTATTTGACTCAAGAGTATTAGTAGTCTTCCTATTCTCATTACTCACAACATATCTTATTTTATTTTTTTTTTTTTGATAGTTGAAGCTAAAAATAATGAAATATGTAATCTACTATTCTTCTATTCTCTTTTTAACAAGATGACTTCAAAGCATTCTGATTCTAAAAATATTTTGCTTTATTTTTAAAATAAAATAATATTTGATCAGAAATGTGTAAATACATTGATATTATCATTTTTATAAATAATCTTAAATTTAGCTTAAATTTACATGACTAAAACTTTTAATTTTAACTAATAGAAAAATCTGTTAAAATAAAATTTACAAAAATAATAGCTAGATATGATTAGATATCAAAATATTTTAAGTTTTCTAAAATATTTTAAAAATAATTTTATAATTACATTTTAAGGGATAAGATTTATCTGAAATTATGTTTTTAATTAGAATAGTTACTATTTTTTAGTTTACTAGTTTTACTTGTAAATGTATTATTCAGATATATCTATAAATATTTATAAATATCTATAATTTATAATTATAAAATGATTAGCATTAATTAGGAATGTTAATAGTTTAAATTATAAACTAATTTTAGATCAATTTGAAATTAAAATTTAAAACTTAAATTCAAATTTAAGTTTATATATTGATATTTATATAAAATTAAAAATGATACTACAACTAGTTACAATTAACATCACAAAGTTGCAATTAGTTACAACATTAATAAAAATTGAGTTGTAACTAATTGCAACTAATAATAAAATAAGTATCACATATTTGTAATTAATTATAGCACTATTTTTATATAAAATTTTAAAAGATAAAAATTATATAATTATATGAAAAAAGTGTATTATATATTAATTTCAAAAATATAAAAAAAAAAATTTGACAAAAATGTTTTATATAGACAAATAGTTACTATTAAAATATTTAATAATATTATATATAGTATAATTAAATTATTATTTAATTTATTTAATTCAAATTCAATAATATATAAATGAGGTTGTATTGAAATTCATATTTTACAGTTATATAATATAATATGATAAGATATTTTAAATTAAATATATTAATTGTTTAAATTAGTCTAAAAATTCAGTCTTAAAATTAGTTTAACTCAATTTAATCTGATTCTTAATTTGAAGTTTTATGATTAGATTAGTTTTATTAACATCTTTAACACTAACTTAAATATAAATATAATTGATTTACAAAATATGTAAAATAAATATATGCTAATTAAAAGAAGTATTTTATTATTTCACTTGTATTATTACTTTCTATTAATAATAATATCTAATGATAAGACTGTAGAAATATCATTATCATTACAATTAGAGAATTATAAAGAAACTAAAATAAATAATTTAAAAAAACTAAGATAAAGAATAATAATATAAATAAATAATAAAATAAATATAAAATTTTTAAAGATTTACTTTATCTTTTACTTATTATTTGATGATATAATTATTAATCATCACTCTTTAATTTTATCTAATATATTTAAAGATTATTATAAATTTTTTAATAGTAATAGTTAAAGATAATTTTTATAATTATTTTTAAATTTAAATTTAATTGTAACTTAATTGTACCATAAGGAAATTTAATTGCTTCAAAAGTTACAACTCAATTATGCTATTTTTTTTTAATTGTAATGCTTATTTTAGTAATGATGTAATTAGTCTTTTATTAATAATATTAAATAAATTGATAATGAAAATCAAATAATAAACAATGAATGAAAATAATTAGTAATTCTATATTTAGTTGAATATGTTATAAAAATTTTGCTTATTTTAATGATAATTATAAAGTCATAAGTAAAAATTTATGTATTAGTTGTAATAAAAACATTTGCTTATTTTAGGCTAAAATTTTGCCAATTTCCTTTGACTTCTATATGTATTTTTAGGATCCTAGTATAATGGAATGCTTAAAATTACTTTTAATATAGCAACTAGTATCATTTAAATTCATTTAATTCATGAATAACTTTACATTTCTCCTTTACATCATTTTGTATCAGATTCTATTAAAGATTTTATTAAAAAAAATATTAATTTTTTACTTTAGGAAATTTATGTTAAGCTTGTTTCTAATGGAATAGATTTATCAATCAAATATATTTTTGGTGATCAAAATTCTTGGTTAATAATTATAAATGTGCATTTACTTCAATGAAAAATTTGTCTTGAAAAATATAATTTTGAGATTATATTTTTCTCAAAAATCTTCAATATTGGTTTTATGACAGTATTGAGAAAATAATTGAAAAAATAAAATTCGTTTATATGAATGTGGGATCAATTTCATATGTAAGTTTTATTTGTAATTAATGAATCTAATAGAGTTTATTAATAATTACTAAAGTTTTTTTATTAATTTATCATTATTTATCCAGATAACACAAACAATTTAAAATTTGAGCTTTATGATTTTCAGTAGAAGTTGATAATGAGCTTCCATTGGCTTATTTATTTCTTGAAAATAATATTTGTTTATAAAAAAAAAGTATGGGAAAAATTATCTATTAATACCAAATTTAATTGGAGAGTATTTAACAAGCATTCAAATACGAAAATAGGTATAAAGATAGTCGTTGTCACGATCAGCCTATAAAAAGATTGGAAAAAACAAAATTTTTCAGAGAAACCATAATTATCCATTTATATGGAAAGTGCCTTATATAGTGATTTTATGAATTAAGATTTTAAAATGGATTTATTTTCACGGTAAGTTTAACACAATTTTAATACAAAATCTTTCTTTCTATAATTAGGACCGACTATAAAAAAAAATATCTTTGCTAATTTATTTATAGGATAATTTCAATAAGTTTCGCCACAAAATATATATATATATATATATATTTTTCTCTAATTTCAGATAATAAATAGCTAAAAATATGATAATTAAATAATGATATTAATAAAATTTTAACGCGAGTATTCTTCCTTATTTTTTATGTTCTTTTATAGTAAAATTTCCACTAAGTTTTTTACAAGCCAGGGCTTCTCCAATTTTGGACGAAGTTTTAAGCATAAATTTGGCAGGTAATTGAGTATCTGAAGGAACTTCAAGTTTTACTTTTATCGTAACTTTACCATCTTCATCGAATAAGCTACTACCATCCCATAATGATTTAACTACCTCCCCCTTTTCATTATATAAGCCAAGACCATTTACTTGATTCATTATCGAGTTTTTTTCTTTTTCCAGAATTACATTAATCTCGTCATCCTTTACCAAAACTTTACCAGCTTTAGGAGAAATGAATTTATATCCTGTTAACGGGAAAGAAGGAAAAGATTTTATTAAAAATATATATATATATTTATTTAAAAAAATAAAAAATAAATAAAAACTTACCTCTACATTCAGGAATAAATGGAAAATCTGTATAATAATAAAGGAAATAGGTCGAAAAGATCAATTTTAAAAAGAAAATAAAATGATTAAAAAAGATCAATTTAAAAATGAAAGAAAAGAAAAGAAAAGAAAAGAAAAAAGAATAAGTTACATCGAGGTTTATGAATAGCTAGAGCTATTACTTCATTGAACAATGCGATTAAAGAGAATAATAAGAGAATTGAAATAAATGAATTGAATTTGATGACGGTATTCATTTTGTAATTTGTTTGTTTTTTTTTTTGTTGGTAGAAAGTTCTTATATTTATTTAAGTTGTTTTTTTTTTTGTTAGAAGGTTAACGGTGGAAAGTTCTTATATTTATAAAGTTTTCGTTTCTAATGAATAGATTATCATTAACAAAATAAAGAAGAGATAAAGATACAATCATCTAGACTATTTGCGAGTATAAAATGATCTTTCTATTTTATTACTTAAATAAATTGGTTGGCAGAAAGCTTAAAAGATTTTATTTAAAAAAAAAATTTTTCTTCTTTTACATATTTTTTTTATTCTAATAATTTTTAATAATTAAATTGATTCTAATAATTTGTAATACGGCCGAATTTAATTCTTTTTGTTATTCTAATAATTTGTAATACGTCCGTCAATTTCAGACACCCTGACGATCAACAATAATTTTTGGTCAATTGGCCAAATCGGTTAAACGCAAAAAAAATTAGGATTGGTGCACAATTTTGATACAGTGATTTTCTTAAAAAACACCCGAATATCATCAAGGATTAGAATTCCATATTATGATTATGGTATATGAGACCTAAATAATTTTATCACACAAAAAGTGCGGGATCAACTCAAGAAAAGGATTGTGCGAAGAGAATTGGATTGCCTTAAGATAAATTTGTTATTACGAAGACCATATATAGTTATTTCAGAGCATCTTCAAAAAAATTGGGTCTCATTGAATAAACTCAAAACTTAAAATGCTTATTTATAATCATTACACATGATCATTATATTGTTATATTCTAATATAAATCTTGCAATGTTTGAAATTAGAATGGATGTAAAATAGATCATAAAATTATAGAACAGTGATAAAAATGTGCCTTTTTTATTTAAGCTAAAAGTTTGTAAAAACAGACAAGTTTGAAAATAATTTTCGGAACTGGGCACACTTCCAGAGTAGCAAATAGTCACATTGTCAGTGTATACATGAGAGCAGACAAATATGTCACATACAAGAGATTTGCAAAATTTAGTCTTGCTGATGTGGTCCGGTTGCCATTAGCGAGGTCTCCGCCATTTTTAAAAAACGTTTTGAGCCATTTGGAATTGATTTGAAGCAATAGGTTAGTAATGCAATCATACAAATCCAACGTAAACATCCTCCTGTGAGACGGAATATAAATAGACCATATGTTCATATTCGGATGAGACAATCACACAGTTACATTTCAATAAACAACCTATAATATAATGCGATCTAAAAACTCTATTTGTTGAAAACTTTGCTTAATTAAGCTAACCACTTAATGTAAATACATATAAAAAAAAAAATAGTAATAGTTAAAGTGGGAAACCATGTTCCAATATTTGGGACTTTTTTGAGATAGGTGTTTCAGTAATTTTGCCCAAAACAGCTCCCAACCTCAACGTTGGCATGTTCTTATCGATCTTTTTCCTTTCGATTTTTTCTATGAACTCGAGCTTGATTTGTTGCATATAGAATGGAGGGTAGCCTATAATTGCATAAAAATTGCATCATATAAATTTATAAAGCAGCAACATAAACCAAAATTACCTTGACATTTTTCATTTCATCGTAAAACATGCAAGTGTTCTTACAGGATTGAGCAATGCAGTTGTACACTACTTTCCATATCTACAAATTTTTGTCCCTTTGCAATCCCTGATGTGTCCAGCCTTTGAAACAAAATAATATAAGTAATTAATTACGAATGAAGGTTGGTTATGTCAACTATCTCTTACCCCATGATTGGACACCTAGAATAAATATTTTATGCAAATCTTGATCTGGGGAGCTTGCATTAGATTTAAAAAATGAATGGAGGATGTCCCTCATAGTTATAGATAAGTCAAGTGAGTCCGAAAAAATTTTTTTACGATGTGGTTCCGGGAGACCACCACTTCGAGGCCTGTAATCGCTTATACTGTGCTTAATGTTCCCCGAAAGTCACATTCGAGCACGGAGTGTGATTGAATAACCTTCGTTACGTCGTTGAGCCGAAACCCAGGAATAAATCTCCCCCTTAAAGAAATACGTATATGTTATATGAAAATATTGGTGAATGAAAAGTCATCACCTGTTATAATTTCTTCAACTTACAAGTCCATTTTCAGTTCGATCTTGTCGAGAAAATCTTCTTGTGAGCATGTTTGTAAATGAATTGTCATAAGCAGACTCCGGAATCGTTAGATCAACATCGACCAAGTTCTCGGCATTGTGAAAAAATGACCAAAAAGAAATTCAAACCGTAAAGAATTTAAAAGTCCATACTGTATTTCACTTACTATATTAAGACCGCTCTTTTGACTTCAATCATATAGGTTTTGACTAACCGGTTTTGAATAAATCCGGTTCCAAATTTTAGAGAAACGCAAAACCGGTTGCTATATAAAACGAATGCAACCGGTTGGAAGATCCGGTTTTCGATTTACCAAAACTAATTTAAGGTTATAAAAATATCCATTTTTAGTTTCTCGAACTAGATTTTCCCATATATTCACTTTTTCTTTTTGCACTCTTTTTTGTGCATGTTTAACTTTTCATTATGGCGAACCTATCTACTTCTTAAGAAACAGAAACTATTACAGATCTTACAATTACTGATACCACAAGCACAGAAAGTATTACAAGGAAACGAATAATAGAATTTCGTTCATCCTTAATTAGAACCAGCCACAGTCATACAGCATTTTTCTTTCGGATCGCAAAAGAAAATTCTAACATTGTTTATTGCAAATTTTGTGAAACTAATTTTGCAGGAACAATAAATTTGTATTTAAACAAAGAAAAATTTGGATTAAATAATAATCCATTAAAATGATGGGAAGTTAATAAGGATAATTTTCTGATTTTAGCAACATCAGTTTCTAGTGAACGATTATTCTCAGATGCAGGTAATCACATATCTGCTAAATGAACTTGACTCTCTCCAGACATGGTGAATGTAAATAAGATGCTATTCTTGAAAAGAAATAGTGTTCATTTTGATATATTTCTTCCGTTAGAATAATTAAATTGTAATAGAAATGATATTTTTATTTTCAAAAATAAAACCAGTTCCAACTTCTATCTCGAAGTACTAAGTGGATTCTTAGCACCTATATGTATTTATTCACTTTCTATTCAGATAGCATAAGCTAAGAATTTCTATAAAATATAAGATTGTACAAGTCAGACCAATAAAAATTGGCTACATTAAATGTAAAAAATACTATTTTCTAAGAAATCTACTGTTTAATTATATCTGACAATTTAAAATGATGCCTATACTAAAACTCAAGACTCACTTGCTATATAGCCATAATTTTCATATTCTGTAAATCTTTAATAATATACCACAGGGCATTTAAACTTTATTTTTTATATACAGTCAGACCTCTATAGAGTCACATCCTATATAAGCACACCTCTTTAAATGCACCTATTTTTATAAAACGGATTTAAATTTACCTCATTATAATCACATATTGGCTACAATCACTATCTTCGCATAACCCTTAACATACATATTATTTGTCTGAAGCTTTAGCTGAAGGACATATATGGTTAGACCTGCTTTTATGCATGCATATGCATGCAATATCTGTCCGCACACGTGATCTGCCAATAATATGTATTGTTGTAATATCACGTTTTACACCTTTTTTATTTTGTTATTCGTATGACTAAATCCTTTTTTACAACTATTCTGTGTCATATTATTTATTTATCATCTTCTTTTTGTCATTACATATATTAAACTTAAAAATTAAAAAATAAATACTGTTGCAAGCTAAATAAAAATAAAGTTGTTATTTGTATCTTATATTAATCGATAGAATTATACAATAATATAGCTTTTTGTCTTTTAAGTTTTATTAATTTTTTTACTTTGCTTCATTAAATTTTGTATCTGCTCGCCATACATAATATCTGTGAAATGGATGAATACCCTCTTCATGATACCCTTCAAAAATATAAAGAAAGAAAAAATGAGACTTCTGAACAACACAACCTTTATCAAAAACGTGATTGAGAAAGAAAATGTGTTAAAAGTTCGAATGAAAATGCTAAACAACGAAAAACCCGTTTAAATAAGAACTGTGAAAGATGTTTTATTAATCGCAATAATCACAAAAATCATCAGTATGATGCTCTGCTTCATATTATAAATGACCAGCCAAATGCTTCATATCATATCATTGATGACCATTATCATCCCATAAAATTTCGCTTTAAAATTGATAAGTTCGCTAATAATCTTTGTACTGTATGCAATAAATATTTTCCATCAATCAAATTTGTATGTAGTGAATATCGTCGCTGTCACTCAAAAATTAAAGAATTGAAAAGACTTAAATTGAATTCTGAATTGAAAAAGTTCTTATCGAGAAATAATATAGATCCGGGTGATGTATCTGAGGAACTACAAGGTCTTATTCAAATAGAAGAGATGCTCATTGTCCAGATATTTCTCATCGTCTCCATATATCATCTGAGTAGTGGCCAATATGCGTATTGGAGTAATGTAATTAATTTTTCTCAAGACGTTCAAGAATTCATTACACGTCTACCTTATCATCCATCATCGCTTGATATTCTTGTTATACGTCATCGCTCTTCTGATGGTAAAGCATTTAAAGATTTTAACGTACATCATTCTATGGTATCTCGTACTCTTCACTGGTTAAAGCATAATAATTGTTACTATTCTAATATCGTCATTGATGAAGAAGTTTTGAGAGCTTTATCTGATAATGGCTCTCTTAATGATCAGATTCCTCAATTTGAAGATATAAGTGATAAAATCTCTGATGACGCAGATAACCTCGATGATTCAATGGTTAATAATTTTGTTCCTATTCCCTTTCCTACCCCTAAAGAAAATACTGCTATTACTGATACACTTATTCGATTACAAGCTGAAACTGAATTGACCCTGTGACCAAATATAGATAGAGTTTCAGTAAATGAATTCCAAACTCTCAAATATATTGTTCGTGTATTTCTGAACTTATACTCTACTGGAGCTACCGATCTTTGTTCGGAATGCACTAGAGATGTAAAATTGGCTGAATAGTTTTTGCACTTACTTAAGTATAAAGATGGCTGATTCGCTCATCATGCTCATTAGCGCTACTTTACTTTGAACTCGCAAATACGTTAGAGGGCCTTGCAAGAGAAAAAAGTGTATATAAAGCAGAGTTTAAATGATGATCAGTGTACCGTTGAAGATTTACAGAAAATGCTTGAGAATGATAATCATATAGTGAATAAAATCGTATAATTTGGAGAAGGTTTGCGCGATTCTCGTCAGTTTTAGAACAGATATCGATCAGAACTGAAAGACATAATTAATCAATTGGGAACGAATGGCATGCTATTTTTTACCTTTAGCATCGCTGATTTCTATTGGCCTGATCTACACAGGCTTATGCCGCATGAAAATTCTTTGAGTACGTTATCTGAGTAGGAAGCGATCACCTATAGACACCAAAACTTAATTGACAATCCTCATATTACCACTTGGTTTTTTAAAAGACGCTTTGAACTATTTTTTAAAAAAGTACTAGTTCCTAAATGGAACCTTGAGGATTGGTGATTTTGTTACGAGTGGCAGTACCGTGAAAGCTCTCACGTTTATAGTGTAGCTAAAAAGAGAGATGCTCCTATTATTGATTAGAAAAAAATGAAAGAGAATGAAGAATCAATGATTAATGTGATCTAATACCTGGATTCTTTAGTTATTACAATTAATCCTGGTCTTAATGCGCAGATCCTTAAGCATCATTCTTGTCAGAAACGTTCTGATGAGCTGCTATATAACAATCAGAATTATGTTGATCTGATTAACAAGCTGCAATAGCATATGCGATGTAGCGCATCTTATTGTCTTTGTGTTGATCGTTCAGGACATCAATCTTGCAGATTTAGATATCTGAAAGAAATCGTTGAAAATACATACCTGCAAGATGATAATGGACAACCAGAACTAATAACTGCAAGAAATAATCCGCTTATTAATCCTCATGATCGCTTGCAGCTTCAAGGTTAGTGTGTGAATGTTGACTTGAAACCTATCTTGAGCATCAAAGTTGTTTTGAATTATATTGCAAAATACGCGAGTAAATCTAAACCTTGCTCTGCTACCTTTTCAGATATGTTAACCAGAATTCTCAATAATAGTAATCCAAGTGATTCGTCTCTTGGTATTGTTCAACATCTACTGCTTTAAACTGTTGCAGAGCGTGATATATCCGCACAGGAAATGTGCCATTTACTTCTAGACCTCCCTCTTTATCATTCTAGCCATCAGTTTGTCTCTTTAAACCTCAATAAAGATACTCTTCAATGGCTTTGTAGATCAGGAGCATCTCCCATTTTGGCAGATGAAGAAATCAGTCAGACTGTGCTATCTCCTCTGCAAAAATATTGGGATCATCTCGTTGAACTTGAGGATCTTTCGCTTTTTCAACTGTATCCGAAATATCATTATTATAAAGATCACTGGAAAATATGTAAAAGTGAAAATATCGTGTGTGTCTAGCCGTGTCCTTTATTTCATCATAATGGCATACAATAGGAAGATTATTGTTGTGTTAAAGTCCTACTTCATATTAGCCATCGTGATTTAAGTGTATTGACTAATGATAACAGTGCCTCCTGGCCTAATCTCTTCGATCGTTACTATAGAATAATCGAATCTGCTCCAGATTTACTTAGTCTACCTATAGACACTCTAGAAAATGATACTATTGATGATGAAAGCGATCAGGATTGTGAAGATCTAGACAATATTAAAGGAGAGATCCGTTCAGATTGGATGATCTTTTCAGAGATAAGACCTGATGCAGAGTTTGAAATTGCTTCTGATTTGGGCTTCTGCGATGTTGACTGTAATTATGATTAGAGTGCTGATCTTAGAACGCATTACCATGATCTTGATATTACTACCATTCCTAACTTTATACCGCAAGCTTGCGATTCTACCAATCTTAATGATGCTTTCTTGCCTAATTGTGTAATAGATCCCTGATCTTTGAATGAAAATCAGAGGTTAGTATACAGGTGAATTGAATCTTATTACATTACTCTACTTACTGATCAAGAATGCGTTGATCTACTCAGGCTTATAGTGTTAGGAACTGCCAGTACAGGAAAGTCTTATT